GGGGGGGGGGGGGAATGGACAGAGGTTACCATAGAAACAAGAGAGGATGAACCCTGTTGGTGAGGAGAAGAGTAGGGAGTAAAGATCAAGGCCAAGTAAACCTGGGATATGGGTGTGTCCTTTGGAGAAGCACAGACAGGCTACCCTTGTCCACTGCTAACCAGTTTCCTCCTCCTCCCAATATCAGGCGCAGACTTATGAAGCGGGGCTCTGCTGTCTCCCTTCCCCAGCTGCCACACGGTAGCACCCACTGGCTGCGTTTGCCCCGGGTCTTCCGCTCTTGCTCCATTGGTGAGAGCAGGCCCCTCCTCAGCGGGCAGCAGGTCTGAGTACTCACATGTGATGCCATGATTTACCCAGGGTGGACAGCAATGCCTATCTTTTCTCCAGCCTCCACTTGGAAACTGCCATTACATGAAATAAATACTTAGAACCTGATGCTGTTTTTTTCTTGCTTCTTGGGAGAATCTATGTCATTTATAGAGTGAAGGTATAAAGGAAGGAGGTATACCACTCATTTAACAGATATCCCAGGGAGGGGGAAAAAGTCATTTTATTCAGATGAGGCACTTTCAATGTATGTGTTTGTGGTGTGTGTGTGTGTGTGTGTGTGTGTGCGCATGCGCGCACATATGCATGGGGAATAGTGGAGGTGGTGCAGGATAATAAATACTGTGAGGGTGAAGGAACACTGCCCTGAGCTGGCAGGAGGGTGTGGCAGAGTATACACAGCCTGTGGAGTAGAGTCCAGGGAGGTGGGTTCAAGGCTGGCTTGAAGGCTGAGGTGTCCCTCTCAACACAAGAAGCCAAAGAAATTGGAGGAGCGGGGGGGTGGGCCCACAAGCATGGGCATCTGGTTCCTGTGGGTGATCTTGATCTGGAAGGGAAGAAGGCATATTCAGATGCAGAACCTGGTGCCTTGGAGCTGGAACAGCAAAAACCTGGGGGAAGACCTATGGGTTCAGGGTGGGTTGCCAGGGCCCTAAATAAGTCATAGTAGGACATCCAGGGGCTGAGAAATCAGGATATGAGAGGAATGATGCTCAGGGAAACTTCAGGCAGAAGTAAAGAAGCTATGGAATGCAGATTTAGGACCCATGGGGCCTGAGGGTTCAGTGTTTGGCAAGCACAGGCAATACTCACTGTACAGGGTGTCTGCATCCAGGGTTCTCCATCAATTTGCATGGGAAGGGTTTTTGTGGTGCTGTGGGAGGCCAAGGCAGATTGATGGAGATTTTTTTACCAATCAAATACCAAAACTCAGTTTCTTAGGTTGGCTTTCAGACCCTTTAGTACTGAGATCTCCTAGTACAGCCCCTCCCCACCATTCCCATGACCCTGGTGCTCCCAGCCCCACTCTTGCCCTCAGAGCCCCTGGCCAGAGTTTTCCTTACTGAAAGGTGATCTCAGAGCACTTGGCCAGCCGATGTCCAGCATTCTTGAGCTTGGTATAGATCTGGCCCATCTCAATTGCACCCTCCAGCCCTACTACTTCCAGCCTCTTGTCGCTTAGGTCTGGGAGTAGAAAGTAGTGAGATAGGTTTTTCAGAAACAGGGTGACTTCAAAGAGAGTCACATCTTCCCCTTAGTCCTGCTCACTCAGCTTCCAAAGCTGCTCCTCTCACCTGGGACACTGGTTTTCAGAATGTCAGGGTCGGTGATGACTTTAGCTGCAGAGCCTAAAGCCTGGTTGATCCCATGGATGTCCCCATGTGGTTTCTTGGTATCACCCCAGAGGTTGGAGCCACCATGTGTGCTAGGAATGTTCAGCACTGCAATGCCTTCTAGAGACAGGGTGCTCAGGTCCAGCGGTTTCCCACAGATCTGAGGGTAGGAGAAAACAGATCCTTACTTCACGACATAATCACCAAATGACAAATTGGGATTTTGAATTTTGCAAGGGATGGAGGGAAATAGAGACTGGTATATCTTGAGAATTTGGGAACTCAAAATTGGAGAGCTGGGAGGTCAAAGCAGAGGTTCAAGAATATGGGAAGTTCTTGAGGGTACCTGTGGAGGGAGAAACTAAGAAATAAAAAGCTGAAAAGGACATAGGGATAGGTCTCATTATACCCACCTCAACTGTCAAAGACTCTTCCAGCTTTTTGCATGTTGAGAAGATGGATTCAGATGTAGCAAATTCGAAATACCATAGCTTGTTCTTCATTCTGTGTCAGCCCCAATACAAGGCCCAGTAGGGAGAGGACAAATTACGCAGTTGGCAGGGGTAGGTTAAGTAACAAGAAAGGGCATCAACCTCCTGCCTCCAGTCCCATGCAGAACAGGGTACCTTTGGGTTAAGGGGTTTCCTAGAAGTGTCACTTCTCATATAAGTACTCTGGTCACACTTGGCCACAACCTGGTCCCTGCCACGGTGTATACCCAACCCACCCCCACTTTCCCTCACCTGCTGTTGAACTTCTCAGGATATTTTTCTCTCATGATGTGGAATCGGTGAGCAATAGAGGCATCCTGGGGAGTTCAGGGCATGTAAGATCAGAGGCCTACCTCCTCTCAGAACAGAACTTTCTTTAACTCCCCCATTTGGGATCAGTATGTCTTATGTCTTTTTCTTGCAACTCGTGTCACTGGGCCCCACCCCCAATTTTCCTGTGTGCAACTCCCTTAATCCATACCTTCCCAGTCTGCCCTCCTCCAGCCTGTGCCTGCTTAACCCCTACTTCCTCTCTTCCCACATGCCCACTCCACTGACCACACCAATGGAGAAGTAGTTATTGATGATCTGAAAAGGGACTGGGTCACTCTTTTCTTCAGTTTGTTGGGGTATCACCTCCACAGACCATCGATCCATATGTACCACCTTACTCATCTCTACATCCTTGAGGATCTTCCCCAAATTCTGTCCTTCATACCCTAGGGATGGGGGAGAAGACAGGTTAGCACTGAGCCCCAGGTCCCAGAAGGGCCTCCTCTTAGCTCCCAGCTCTACAAATTCCCAGGGATCCTCTGCCCTGGTTCTGTAGACCTTTCCAGCCTTGCCAGTGAAAGGGCAGGGTGCTTTGACATGGTTCCCATGGACCAATCTCCTGTGGACCTTGCTGACCCTTTTCTCCACACTGTCATGGAGGATGAATGTTCCCAATGTGTATAAGCATCTAACAATAATGCCAAAGTTCATCTGGAAGGCTAGAGAAAATAGCCAGAAAATTTTTAAAATGAGTGATGAATGGGGATAATTCTCTCTCTCTTTCTCTTGCCCCTCCCTCTCTCTTTCCCTGGCACTTTCTCTCCTTATCCTACCAGATGGAACACAGTATAAAGCAATGGTGTCTAAACAGTGTGATATAGTGAGTAGACTAAAAAGTAAAGAACAGAGTGCCCAGAAACAAGATCAAGTATATATGAGAATTTAGTATATGACATTTGAAATAAGTAGGGAAAAGATAGATTATTCAATAAATGGTGCTGGGCGTAAAAGTGACTCCTATACCAAAATAAATTCAAGATGCGTCTAAGAATTTAAATGTAAAAGAATGAAGCAGAATTTGTACTAGAAGAAAACACAAGTGAATGTTTTAACAATCTTTGAGGGAAAAGGCCTTTCTAAAGCATAATACAAAGCCAGGAGCCAAAAGAGGGAAAGACTAACACCATTACATTAAAATTAAAAACTTCTGTATGGTTAAGTAAATAATACACTTTTTAAAAAAAGACAAAATAGAAACTGGGAAAAATTTTTTGCAACACATACAACATATTAACTTCCTCAACATTCAAAAAAAGCTTACAAATTACTGTATTTATAATGTCAATAGAAAAATGGGCAAATAACCCAAACAAGCCAATCACAGAAGAAGAAATACAAATGGTCAATATGCATAGTAAAGATGCTTAATATTATTAATAATATAAAAATTTTAAAAATTCAAATAATTAGTAACATTTTGTCGCCTATCAGATTGACAAAGTATAAAGAGATGAAGGAAATCAAGTGTTAAAGAGGTTATGAATAAACTGCCACTCTCATTTGCCGTTAGTTGGAGCATATACTGGTACTTCATTTTTGGAAGGCAATTTGGCAATTTTAAAAAATGCTTTTATTGCCCAGCCAGGCGTGGCTCAGCGGTTGAGTGTCGACCTAGGATCAGGCAATTGGGGTTCGATTCCTGGTCAGGGCACATGCCCAGGTTGTGGGCGCAACCAATGACTCTCTCATCATTGATGTTTCTATCTCTCTCTCCCTCTCCCCTTCCTCTCTCTAAAATAAAAACATATTAAAAAAAATAAAGAAAATAACTAATTAAATGTAAAATCTTTATACTCTTTGAGCCAGCAACCTCACTTCTTGAAATCTCTCCTAGAGAAATTCTCACATCTGTGTGCAGACATAGACGAGCAAGGGTGTTCACTGCAGCATCGTTTGTAATAAAAGACTGAATGCTACCCAAATGTTTATCAATAGGGAACTAGTTAAATAAATTATGACAGGCCCTTTCCCTCCTGGGAGCACGCCCATGCCTTTCTTCCCCTAGAGACATGTGTCTCCTAAACTCTAACAGTCCCCACAAGACTTGCAACCAGGGGAGCAATGGGCAGCAGTTGCTTCTCCCAGGCTAACCCCCTTTTCTCCAAGACCCCCTTTTCTCTGACTTTCCAGTGAGCCAAAGCAGCCCTGCCTAGGCTCTCTCCTGTTGCTTCTTCTATCCTAAGTCCTTCCTTGTTTCACTGTCCCCAGCTTTAATAAACAGTCTCAAAATCAAAACAAATAAATAAATAAATGATACAGTCCCACAAGGTTATGCTACTCAGTAATAAAAAGAGTGAGGTAAACCTGAATGTATTGAAATATAATGATAACCAAGATGAACTGCTTAGTTAAAAAAAAAAAGAAAACCATCTGTAAAATGACCTTGTCGTTTAAATATGGATGAGTATGTGTCTAGAAAGAAAACCATGGAGAAATAGACTCCAGAAAGTCAGGGAATAGATTATAGGGAAATTTCCCTTTCTTGGCATGTATATCTGAAATGTCTGAATTATTTTTTACCACAAGTATGTATTATTTTTGTAATTGGGAAGAAAAAGATTACAAAAATGGGTCTTCACTTCCTCACATTCCATTGATGGTTCAACCAACTGTAATTTGCCTCTCACTGTACCACCCTGCTGAAACTCTTTTGGCAAAGATGGACAGTGATTCCTGCCAAAACCAATAGTATATCTTTAGTTCTTATTTTAACTCATGAAACTACTCACTTGGCTTCTGAAACAGCACTCTCTGAGTTACAGAGGACCCTCTCTGACCGCTCCTTAGTCTCTGTGGTAGGCAGAATAATGGCCCCTCAAAGACGCCCACATTCTAATCTCCAGAATCTGTGAATATGTTGCCTTAAGTGGCAAGAGACTTTGCAGACATGATTACATTAAAGATTTTTTAAATGGGGAGATTATCCTGGATCGTCTGGGTGGGCCCAATG